GAATTTTCTTCCCTTTGAGCTTGCATTTATTATGCAACTACACAGTATTTCAGAAAAATAAAGCTGCAAAACATTTACTCTTGAAAGTTAAATTATGCTTCAAGTTCTCGTCAGTGAGCAAAAATGTTGTTACCTCTAGAAATTACTCTTAAATTACGAAAGCCTAGTAGGGATGCGAAGGCACCGGATAGATACGTCACAGGCAAACGACATAAAGTGTGTTATATAATTAATTTTTTGGCTCGAATCATTTTATTTCCTGGTCTTTAAGCCTGATTTGTCCAGAACATAAATGTTGTGAACAGAGCGTCAAACAGAGGCAACTCGGATCACACAGCACCTACATCAGAATAGTCCATTAGACACAGTATCACATAAGGCACAAGAGCGTCTTTAATCAAGGGGATGGCGCCTAAAAATCCCCCCCCCCACACTCCATCTTCCCACCGTCTACCAGACTAGCCTTTCAATCAGGACCGACTCTTCATGCAAGTCTCCTAGGAAACATATGTCAGCGATGTCACTCTCGGTGGAAGCGGACGTTCAGCCCTATGAACGAACGAATGCCAAAATAGTCCCCCGATCTCATGTGGGTGGATGCGGACGTTATGCCCTACGAACAAACGAATGACATAATAGTCCGCTACATCACGTATGTTGAAGCGTACATAATAGTAGAAGTAGTAATGAGTGATAAAACAGATGATATAAAACTTAATTTACAAACCACATGTTTATTGTTATTTTTTTTTCATTTGGAGTTTCATTTACTAAGTACTGCACCATATTTATGGTTCAATTCCGATTAGTATTTACGATATGATGAATCGAAAATTTGTTAACATTCGACATCCACTGCGGATCATATATCGGATACCTATGAGTTTTGCTAAAACTTTTGTTGGGCCTCTTTTTAATCCGATTGCATCCAGATCAAGATATTATATACCGTTCGTGTTTTGATTTTAGCATGGATTAAGTCGTGGAAAATTCGATATTTTCCAACAAATGCATGACGCCTAGAGGCTTCAAAGTAATGTGATTTAAGCTAAACATCCGTTCATCAATATTTATTTAACCTACTGTTGAGATAAAGTAGTTTAAGTTGCCCTTTCACGTAATATTGCACCTTGACACCAATACTATTAATTTACACTGGCAAGGATAATAGGCTATTTTAAAACATATCTGACGTCAGATATATACCATATATTATTTCCTTAAAGTATGACCTATGTAATGTCTGCTGTTTACAAGTATCATATTTCCTTAAAGTATGACCTATGTAATGTCCGAGTATCATATTCATATAGTTAGTTTTTTCCGGGTTAACGCCTAGAACATAATCATTTCGTTTAAGAACTTTAGTTTTTAGCTATTTTCACTGAAAACGTGAAAATTTAAAGGGGAAGTGTAAAATATATTCAGGTGAATAAAACCAGTTAATTACGTGTGGAAGGCTCTTATAACCATTTATTTATAGTCCCAAGCAACTGTTGGAAGCTCGGATTACGGTTTCAAACAAATATCAACACCCAGTTGTCTAGTAGAGTCAGAGACCTGTATAAACCTGTCTGTAACATACGCGGGTGCCAAGTGACATCGAAGCACAGACCCACATTAATTTCCCTAATTTTGGTTACCATAGTATTTTTCTTCTTATTGTTACATTTTATATCAGCTTTTAGTGGCTATTCAGGATTTTGAGGTCGAAGGATAATAGAGTTAATTTACGTTGAAGTAAAGGGCGGATAGTTACATGTATGCAACTTCCAGTTTGTACATTCCAAGATTTCCATACTGAACCTCTCATGCGTTAGAGCAAGACATTGCTACAGTGTTCAACCCAACAACAATTTGCAGAAAGGTTTTTGATCCCATAAAAGAAATTAGAGATGAGAATTAACATTAAAGTCAAATGGGAAATATATATGATATGGTGACCTGTAGTCGTTTGGAAATGTCGCCATATTTGTGCTCTTCACTGGCATAAGTGAGGAAAGTTAAATAGTTGTATCAAAGGGTTTATTTAATATTTTGAGCTGAAACTCCCAAACATGTCACTAATTCATAAACAGTTCCTATTCATACTCCTATTTCTAAAACATACACGTTAAGCTGTATTACCTCTTAGACAATATAAAGATGGATGATCACTCCACATCCCGCAATGTGTAATACTGTGAAGATGGCTGATTTAATTTTAATCAAATTGGTGTGAACTTGCCGTAAGGTGCATGTAGTAACCATTGGCTACAAGTATATACTCTTTAAGATCATTCAGACAGAGAATTGACAGCGATTCTTCTTACTTTATATGGGTTATTTTATCTATCTTACAGCTATTATATAGCAATTTAACATGTCAAAAACGCACCAAAGGAAGAGTGCAAAAAGTCTAATCAAATATAATCACACAATAATCATCATGCTCAGAGCTCTTTAAAAATAGATTTTCGAAAATGGTTTGTATAGTATTTCCTGTCTTCATTAACCCAGTTGGTACAGTAAAGTACAACATTTCATTTAATATAGTATTTATTCTTACATAAACTTATTCAGTTGTTTAAAGTGTCATTAACTGAGTCATCTTACTGTTTGATGTTACATTTGTCTCTGTGTAAATAAAGCCAATCTATGAACCAGTACTGTTGTTGCGTTTAACCAGTTGTTACGAGAATCTGACGATTAGTGCGTTTAGTTCATTCAAGCTTTTCCAAGTTGATTATGACTTTCAACAAGAAAATAACTGTACATAGTTTGATATAATACCCAGAAACCTTGATAATCACTGGTCTACCTAAAGCAAATCATACTGCACGGGCATTCACTATACTCAATCAAAAATTATCGGAGTTATCGTAAATGATATACATTAGCACACACAAGCATAGAATGTGTAAAATGTGACAATTCACTCCGATCCTGTTACTTGTATTATTGATACACCTATGTGAACAAACCAATTTATGATCTTTAAAATGCTATAACCTATTGTAACCTACATTGATTGTTAATGAAACTGGGTATTTATAGTTGTGCTAAAAAGTGATGTTATTATAGCATGTTCAGTACAAATAGTCTAAATAGTGATGTTAATATAGCATGCTCAAGAAAAGTAGTCTAAATAGTGATATTATTATAACATGTTCAATAAAAGTAGCCTTAATAGTGATGTTATTAAAGCATGTTCAATAAATGTAGCCTAAATAGTGATGTTGTCATAGCATGTAACATGTTCAATAAAAGTAGCCTAAATAGTAATCCGGTTTCCTCCCACTGCTAAAGACCCCTACGCGCAAGCGGATTATGTAAATAAAATTAAACCATATGTTAGTCCCGAAATGACCTAGTTTGTGTCGAGTGGACGTTAAACCCCATTTCTCTCTCTCTCTCCCTAAATAGTAACCGTCTTCATTTCATTTCATTTCAACTAAATAGTGATGTTATAGCATGTTCAATAAAAGTAGCCTAAATAGTGATGCTATAATAGCGTGTTCAAGAAAAGTAGCCAAAAATAGTGATGTTGTTATAGCATGTTCAGTAAAGTTAGCCTATATAGTGATGTTATAGCATGCTCATTAAAAGTAGCCTAATCAGTTATGTTAATATAAAAGGAGCCCAAATAGTGATGTTAATATTACATGTTCAAAAAACAAATCTAGACGTGACCTCGAGGCCATACCATCGTTCACATTATAAGTTTGGAATATTATGTAGTACTCTGATGTGCATGTTTTTAAAGCTTCGCGAACACCCCTTTTCATGGGGTAGTTTTTATCGTGGTATAAATAGAGATAGACCGCGATATCACCTCGGTGGAAGTGGACGTAAAATACAACTAACTAACAATGCTTCACCGTGTTTGTATACTAATGCTTTCTGTCAACTTTGTATAATGATTTTTTACTGTCATCTTTATATGTCTAGAGTTATATTAATGCTCTAAACGTAGTAAACGTAGCTATTTACTGAATTCAACTTATTTTATTTTCCCCGTCCCCTACCCCTCCTTACTCTTGTGTGTTGTTTTTTGTTTTTTTTTAAAAATTACGTGTAATGTCATGTGTATATTGTTTGTATGTATCTATAATGTATGATCTGATGAGACAGTAGAAGTAAAGAAATAAAGAACTGAACTAGTGTCTAATGTAATTGTGTCAGCCGTTAGCCGGATTAAACTTGACCTTAAAAATCGGTGATTCCCAACCTGATTCCTCTCACGGACCACCTGAGACAACTGTAGGGCGAGTGCCACCACTTTTTATATAAATCTGCGATAAACCCTAGCTTGAGTCATCTTAATATCATTTAAGCTGATCTAATACGCTGTAGAAGATGATCATACTTGCATAAATGTGACACTGATATCAGCTTCATATTTCACGGCATACACCCACACTCCGAGAAAGCACCCATGGGCGCCTTTGACTTTGCGTACCCCCATAATTTCTCACTTACCCTTGGACCGAAGGTTGGGAACGGGGTCGTAACTAGCTCAGAGCAACGAGGGGGACGGGAAGTGTTCTCAGGGGTGCTGTAAAATTGACGGACAATGTATATCTATTGTTTTTATGGTCGACATTTTTTTTCAAGCTACGGGCCTGGTTGGGAAACAACCAGAAAGTTCTTCCAGGTCGACTACTAACTTGCATGTAAGTATTAATTATATTTGTACACCTTGATAACAGAGTCTTTGGCTAAACTAATTAACAAAACACCATCTGTCTTTTGTGTGTACATATATATAATTTTAAATAAATAAACTAATGACAAGTAAGCCATAATAAGCCAATACATTATTATGTAGTTACACAAGCATTGTCGATTTTTTTCATGTTTAACTACATTCCAAACCACTTTAGCCAGGTAACCTTTTACACAGCTCTTAAGTCCCGGTGAAATATCATGAAAAAAGCTCCCAACTAACCAAATCGAGCGGAAAACGTGGCAACTTGCGACACAATTTACACAAGTTGTACTTTGAAGTTGGCAGACCGCACGGTGTCGAGGTTAAACCAAACAAAAAATACAACAAATGTTTACCACTTTAACAGAAAATTATTTATTTCTTTCCTTCCTTGGAAGAAGATGACTGTTACCATCGTGTGTTACGAATAGTATGCATATAACCGATGTTTATGTCGAAGTACAATAGTCAACATCGATCCAGACTTTTTTCATCTAGGATACTGTAATATAATTTTTGAACTGGTCATATACGACTACCGACCAGCTAGCAATTAAGAAAAATACGCTTTATTTAAATAGTTATGTGGACTTTCAACGCCCCGATAAATACTTGTGTTATACGTTAGATTGTTAACAAGATTTAAATAGTAAAACACCAGAAAATGTGATAAGAAAGGTTGTTGGAATACAAGCGCTTTTAAGATTATTTTTCAGGTAAGCATTTCGTTTTTACCACTATTACCCCGTAGAATTATATTATTTGATTACATAAATTTGTACCATATGTAATTAGTCACGATTCCCGAAATGACCTAATTTATGTTGAAGTATGATATATTTAATTTTGTGATATATTAAAGACGTCATCAATGATGTACTAAGTGTGCACACAAAAGAACCACTCACAGATGGAAGAGGCGTAGAGTAAACCACTAACAATAAAATATGTATCGCAGTTATACTTTCATGGTGTATCCTCTAAGGTCCTATAATTGCAGTCTATAAAATTTTAATAACCTTTGGTACAAAAAGGTATAACACTAGGAGCAATATTATCGAAAGATGTTGAAGATCAGAAGATAGACAATCAATATCAGTTTCAAAAAGATGAAATTAAATTGTTTTTAACACTTTTATGCACAGAACACCAGAGTTTAACTCTTTTCTACAGAGGCCGGGCTAATAAAGACGGCTCCAGAAGGATAAATGTGTTATTACGTCCTCTACTGTGCCAACAAGAAATGTGATCGACGGACGGATGGACAGGTGTTGGTAACAATATAAAAATACCTGCACGTTGGTCCTAAATTGTCGACGGGGTATTGCTGTTTTAGATCTTCAATCGTAATATTGCCAAGTGTAGGACTACGGAAGGGTATCGCTGCCAATATTAAATGTTCTGCTACAATATATTTTCGATTGATTAGTGTAAAAAGTACAATGTCGTAATACCGGTAATGATAAAGTCAAAATACCTCTAAGGCCATAGTTAAATGAAAAACGTCAACAGATAAATGTTTTATTGCAAAATGCTGTTTTTTGAAGCGTTGACATTTTACATTTCGCTCATTACATTTAACATTTGCGCTCAGCCGCATCTCATTTGTCCTTTACGCTTTTTACATGACATTTTACACATAGCACTATCTTTGATATGTAAATTAGGATATCACGTGACTTACTAACATATCCGGAAACGACGCCGAGATCAACCTTGCACACTATAAGCCAGACTACTATAAGAAATTACTTAACTGTTGTGTGGGTGCAATTTATGTCAATTTGTAAATTGATGTAAAAGGTGTTTTTTTGGGCGCAGGTGAAAATCAGTTATTGGACATCATGAACAGTCCTCGTTCATAATTCCTATAACTCATTTTGTTACCACTCATATTCATGCTAACGCCGGTCAGTAAAAAAAATAGCACCCGTTATAACTTCCCGCACAGAGAAGGCGTGTTTGGTACTGAAGAACCCGAGTATTATCAAAGCATCACCCCGATCCCACAAAAAGAATGATGGCATTAAAGGGACAATAACACTCTTGCTGGCTTGACAGTTCTAGAAAATAAATAATAGCCTTATTCTAAGTATTAGATGTTTGTGTGTCCTACCTGTTGTGTAAATTATCCATTACATCCTGTTTTACTTGTCCAGAGGGTTCGAAAATATTTTTAAATCCAAGTCACATTTGAAAAGGTTTACGTTAGGCTTTTCAAATCATTTAGTTGAATTTATCCAATTTTTTTAAATTAGGTGTGTAAGATGAAATTTGTATCATCAATTAATTGGAATATTGTAAAATAGTACAATTTGTTGACTAGAATAAAGATTGGGGCATATTATTTAGTTACAACAAGAGTGGTATTGAGCCTTTAAGCAAGCAACTGGTTAAGATAAAAAGCAGATATCATCAGCGTGATATATTTGATTTATTATGAAACGATATACTTTAAACGATACATCACGATTCCTAAACTGTAAGCAATACTTTCATGTCGGAAACACCCTCCGACATACGTTCCGATCAGAAAACATTTTAATATTGGATGTTAGATTGATATATCAATATCGTCAACACATGGGAATATCTGACAGATTCTATACATGGTACACCGCCCCATCCCTATTTCTTTCTTTTAGTACTCATAAAGAAATAAAATACCCAAATATCTTTGGGGTTATACGATTTAGCAAATAAGCCCCGTCTGTTGTAATAAACGCACTTTGATATTAACACTTAAAATAATCACAGATTTCTACTGATTCTACCAAACCCACCTACCCATATATAGACGTAAAACTTTATTGAATAAAACACCTTCCAAGGTCAGGTGCATACATAAATAATAAACTTTACATGAAATAATTATAGGTAAATATATAGTTACATACTATAACATACATATTGGATACAAAAATTCACTCCCTTTTAATAGTTCTACGTTTTTATGTTTATAAAAGAAAGTTTGTTCGCTATAGAAAACCAAATGGTTGTGTCGATCTTAAAATAACTTCATTAAATACAATCAAACAAAAATTACTGGTGCTGTTTATTTTGCATTTGGTGCAGTATTGAACGATGAAATTGGCAATTAATGATATTTGCCTTATTAGGGATATTATGGGGAGTAAACATTTTAGAAAATCACATACTCTTTAAACTTACTTCAGGAAAACTATTCAAAGTCTTAACCCAAAATCAAAGCAATTTAAGACACTCACACCAGAAAGCTAAGCTTATAGTTATTAATTATTAATAGCCATAATTATTTCGTATTGAGCCACAGAGTTATTTAACCAAGCAACTAGAACTGAAAGAAATTATCTGAAGTACATTATGATTAGCTTACTGTCATATTACCCAGCTCTTGTAACGGATGTATTAGGAATAATCCCCGTTTATTAGATCATAATCACTAGGTTGAGATGATATCATTACTTACAGACGACGTTAATTGTTACTATACGACAGATACCGTGTTATGTCTTTATGATGTAAGACAATATATTAAACAATTATGATTTTGTATGTCATCCGACTATTTAACGACCCCGTGTTGTAGTTCTGACGTCTGCTTATTGGGGACAGATTGCAGTGAACGCGTATAGTGCAGCTGAAGAAGTATGCCAACTATCGATTCTATTCTAAATATCAACACTAACTATTTACTCCGGCTTTTTCGTGGTACAGAAAAATTGGACGTTAAACCACTTTTCATTTTATTTCTGTATTGTAGTTGTGTACATCCTTGTTTACATGCATAAAAATGGAGCAGCCATCTTGTTTGCATTATTCAAGTATTGAATGAAAGAATCCCCATCCTTAAAAACCCACGCAAATGTAAAAGCAAATGTGAAAAAGACAATCAAGAGGATTTCTTACAGTTTTGAAATAGAAATGAGGAAAAAACCTGATTATTAATTACGTAATGTTTACATGCTTCGCAGTCGTCACAATATGAAGCGGGGGCGTAACCTCCTACTCACCTGAACTAACCGAACTAATAACGATGGTCATTCGACACGAAGTGTTCTATGATAGACGTTATCACCCACTCCTCATCCAATTGGATTTTCATCCTACTCATGTCGATACAGAATGGCATTCTACTAATAAATATAATTAGCTATCATTGATACACTCATATATGTGGCTGAATTAAAGGAGCTAAATCGCTATTCTTTGGCAGCTAGAAATGGGTCGCAACTCATAATAACACAAACCGAGTCTCTTCACTACAAATGGCGCGCAAAAGCATTCTGGCACGCGATTCGTGTGCCAATTTTATAATTTTTATTTTGTCTTAAATATTTGATATCAGAAGCTTATCTTTTCACTGTAAGATCGCGCTTGCAATGTCGAAGACTGTGGATGATATTGAGTTAGCGACTTGCCTCCCTTAACGGAAACTTAAAAAGTAGATAGTAATGGTATTGTAAAATGAACAACTCAGACGAACATACATATTGGTATGGTGATGTCAGTGGACAAATAAATGTATGATAGTCTGGACTGTTTTCACAACAAACTGCATACTTCACCTGGACGGGGCTTTAGTTGGATGTCTCAGCGAATCACGTGCATATCGTCAATCGATTAATTGCACTGGACTTTCAAAACCTGTCAAGACTAGTTCGTTAATGCGTTGGAGAGGGAGAGGGAGAAATGGGGTTTAACGTCCACTCGACACAAACTAGGTCATTTCGGGACTAACATATGGTTTAATTTTATTTACATAATTCGCTTGCGCGTAGGGGTCTTTAGCAGTGGGAGGAAACCGGAGGACCCGGAGGAAACCCACGAGGTTGGACAGGCGACCCTACTCCTTGCCACGTACAACCGGGGATTGGAAACCACGCCTGTCGACTCAATGACAGACTTTATGATACAGCGCGCGCACGCTAACCATTCAGCCATCCAACCCCCCTTTAATGCGTTGGTGTCAACATTTTTATTCCATTTATCTACACGACAGCTTATAAAATTTCATTTTGATCAAGATTCGTCAATAATAAGCTGGGTTATTGAATTTCAATAGTTTGCTAATTTCAGTCAACTTCAGCGTTTAGATGTTTGCTGTCACCCTCAAGCCTTTCCTTGTTTCATCTGTTGCTATGTTGGAAATCTCCCTGTCGTATCGGTTGCTCGTCTTAATTTACTTAGTAGTCACTCTCTTATAGCGACCAAATCAAAATAAACCCTTTCCGTGAAAATTAAATTAAAACCATAAACGATTTTTATTACAGTCTGACTTTAACCATGGCTTATATTAGAGCTTTAGAGGTAGACAGTTTCTCGACTGAAGGCTATCAATGGCTTATGGGGATATTATTTATAGGCGAATTAAAGTGTTTATGCCGATTTTCAATCAGAAAAAGAAACAAAAATTAAAAAAGCGAATATATGAGCATTGATTGGTCTTGAGGTAGCTAGATCCAGATCGGTCAAAGCCATGGGAGCCAAATGAGTTAGGAAGCCATCGAAATTGAGAGAGGTTACATAGAAATCGAGAGATTTTGTTTTATACAAAGAGTTGAAAACCAATCAGAATGGAAATTAAATGATATTGGCAGTATGTGGCATTCGACTTTCTGTTCAATATTATACGTTTACATCACGCTATTTACATAAACGTGTCACACTTGAATAATGTTACTGATATTTACACTATTCACTGTCGAAGTATTTGTGTAAGGTCCGATTTCTATGT